AAAATCACCCTCAAAGAAAACTTCTTAGTTGTGTGGTTGTATTTTGTGCTTGTGTGGTTGTTCAATCAAACTTAAAGTAGTGTCTGTTTTGTGTTTTGGTGCTTGTGTGGTTGTTCAACCAAACTTAAAGTAGTGACTGTTTTTTGTTTTGGTGGTTAACTTAAGTTATTGTGGTTGTTGGTTGAAACAATGAAACACTATGATGTTTGTGTTTGATGATCAAGAAAACACTAGTTATGTTATGCCTTTATGTTATTATTTCGTGTTTTGTTATCATATTACCAATTACATGTAACTGTAGTTTTATGAAAAAAGGACAAGTCAATTGAACATACACAAAGATATATTTATATATATATAGCTTTAATCAGTAGAAACATACATCACTAAAACACCAAACCAAACTAATCCACAAAATGAGAATCCTAGAACCAAAAGACCTTGCGTTAATAACAATTGCATTCACAAAAAAAATTTCAACGACACACTAAATAAAAGAACAATATCACATTACATATCAAACTAATGCCCAAAATCAGTTTCAACATCCTTCTACATTTCAACTGTTTTTCTTGTTTGTTGGTCTTCTTCAACAGACCCAAAATCACAGTATTCGCCTGGCTAGGAAATTCTGGATCATACCAATCGAAAAACTTACAAGGATTTCGAAATGAGGACTGCATTTCATAAAATCAAAGTTAAAAAAATTACATAATACGAACTTGGCAAATAAAAAGCAAAAAAATATGAAACAATACATACCCCATAGTGTCTACAACTGAGAAATCTACGTCCGGGATTGTCATTTGTCCATGAAATTTTCAGAATTGGAGGAGTCCCACATAAGCAAACAAGTCTCCTATTATAATTCATGAATTTAGCAAGAGCAATTAAAACAAAAAAGAGAGAAAAATTCTGAAATTTGAAAAGGAAGAAGGGATTAGGGAGAATAAATAGTTAGAGAATAGAGAGAGAGAAAAATCTTTAAAATATGCCAAATATTAAAGAAAAATGGCTCTTTTACGTTTTTTACCGTTGTACCTTTATGATGTGGCAAAAAATCACTTCCTCACGCGCCTAGTAGAGTGTGTTGTCAATTTCTACGCCATGTGGACGAAAAAGGTGCACGCGACAGAGGAATAAACAAGTTCCGGGGGGGGGGGTAATTAAAACGGAATTTAGTTTAGGTGTACACCGTATAAAAAGCTTCAAGTTCAGGGGGTAGTGAGTACTTCTGCCTAGAAAAAAAGATAGCATTTTATTTGAAATTTATGATAATGAAATTGAGAAACAAATTTGAAACACTTTTTTTAATTTGATATCCAACTCTAAGTTGGATTTAGATACTTATAACCAAACATCAAATTTGACATAAAATATATATATATTTTTTAAAAATGAATAATTCTCATAGTCAAATAACTTCTATTTTCCCAAATAGAGGCATCTAAGTTATACAAGTAAACAACTATCCTAATATTGGCCCGCACCGAACCAACCCATTTATATATGGAAGAGGTAGAGGTAGACAAAAGAAGAATTGATGAGAGCTAATAATTAGACATGACATGCGATAACTTCAACTTACTACGAACATAATCTTAGATAGAAGATTATGGATGATGCGTTGTTGAAAATCTTACGAAAAATACCTTCATCGCGATACTTGTATGAAATTTACTAAAGTTTGAGGCGTATCAAATATTGTCCTTAAGGATATTTCATCCGATATAGGTGTATCCCGCAGGATTTAACAAGCTTTTCTAATATAAAATTAGGAGCCAAAAATTAAACTAACAAAGATTCAATAAAAAAAAACCATCACAATAAAATGGGAAAATAATATAAGTTTAGCTCTATGATCTTTTCACTTCTACCTTCTCAAAATTACATAAACAAGATCATTTATGCAAAGGAAAATAAGCTCCAAAGTCTCAAATGAAACTAAAGTGTACGTAAGAGTGAATGTCATAAAATACATTAAAGACAATAATTGAAGTCAATTTATTTTGGTCAAATATAGACGTTGCAACAGCCAGATGTTTTATCAACTTTAATAGTGATTTATGACATAATCAAAAATATATAAATACTCATTTAATAGAATAAATATAGATAATAATATCAATATTTCTTTTGATATATTAGAATATTCTTTTAACACCAACTTGGATAAAGGGTTAGTTAGGTAGTTGAGAGCAGTCTCGTTTTTCTTCTTCTTTACTTTTCCATCGTATTAGTAGTCATAATATATTATTACTAATATATGAGAAGTTTCTTGTTATTTCATTTCTGTTACTATTTAGTTTTTCTTGCACTTTGACTATCATATTATTTTGTTGCACTGATTGTCCCTTTGTTTTGTCATGCTTTCTCTAGTGTTGTGTTTTGACTTCTTCTCTCTCGTATTTGTTTTATTTTTTCCGAACCACTCTTACTTGAATCGTGGGTCTATCAGAAACAACCTCTCTATCTCTCAAGATAGGGATAGGTGTGCATATACACTATCCTCTTCAGATCCTACTTGTAGAATCTGGCTTGCTCAATCTTTTGTGTGATGCCCTTAAACTCCATATTGTTCAATTGAGTCAATTTTGGGCTTGAGCTTTAGTCATGTATTCTTCATTGTATTAAACCCCTTGCCCTTAAACTCCATAAGTCTGGCTTGCTCAATCTTTTGTGTGATGCCTTTAAACTCCATATTGTTCAATTGAGTCAATGTTGGGCTTGAGCTTTAGTCATGCATTCTTCATTGGATTAAACCCCTTGCTGCCCTTTCCATACCTTCTCCATTGATAAAATTATGCATGATTTGTATTGCTTTGCCCTATTCTTCACCAAACTTATACCAACTTAAGTTGCTTCTTTTTTATGTAGTTTTTGAGTTCTTTTTGCTAATACCTCTTGTTTACTTCCATGACATTTCAAATCATCCTAGTCATTTCAAAACAATAGTAGATAGATGAATAAATAAATGAATCTAATTTACATACATGACCAATAAGATATAAAAACTATATTAGTTCACATTTAATAAGATGTGAATTAAGAATCTAAAATTGATGAGTTTAGTAATAAAGTTATGAATCATAATAAATAAGATGTGAATTTAGAATTTAAAATTGTTGAGTTTAGTAACGAAGTCATGAATCATAATAAAAGAAATTTAAAAAATAATAATGTAAACTTGCACAATGAGTGAATATATTGAACTATCAAGGGGATTAAAACGTTTCGATAAAGGTATTGATCAGTTCAACACTTATCAATACACCTACGGGGAACTCGTCTTTTGATGTTCTTAGCACTAAATTCATTGTATGATTATAAAATTATGGGCCCATATCTAACATGTGCTAGATGATTTAGTGAACTTTATATATTTGTGGTGCAAATAATAAAATATACTGAACAATTGCTCAAATGTTACATCCGCCCAGCTGCCTTTAAATGTTATATAGTAAATGTTATCTTATTTTCAAAATTACAAACTCGCTCTACAAAGGAATATTTGTAGATATTGTTGTGTAACCTAATATTGCAAAGATTAATAATTAGTATGTTAATTGTTAGAAGTTAAACTCTGCATGAGTTTAACACTAGAGACGAACATATAGAGAAAAATAAACATAGAAAATTTATCGTATCCGAGCCATAAAAATGGAGAACATCCTAATAAGGGAAAGTTCTCCCTTTAATGAGCTAGAGCTCTATGTGATGACTCAGAGGCGAATCCAGAACTAAGAGTTTGGGGTTTTTAAAAGATAGGGTGGTTCGAACTAAGGGGGATTCGAACCCACAACTCTAGCGTTTCACAATCACTTCTATACCACCGAACCGGGTTCACAAGTTACTATACATATATATTATTTATTTATTTCTAGTAAAAATATAGGGTCTACATAAAAGCTATTGAATTCGTCCGAACCCACGAACCGTCGGACGAACCTGCACCTAGCTCTGCCTCTGTCTGACGTGAATTCATAATGAGTTAGAACACTATGTGGCGCGGATTCAAAATAATCGAACTAGTAATTCTGGATACAAACTTGAACCGTTGACCTCCAAAAAGTCATCATCATAATTGGGTTGACCAACTTTCGTGTTAGCCTCGAACTATAATTTGGTATTAACAAATATATATTATATAAATTAACGTGCTCTCAACTACTATCCATTGTAGCCAAATATCCTCTTAATTAATTATAGTATATAGTTTCTCCACACCTCATTTCTTAATTTCTCGACTCGTTGTTTCATACACTAAAATCTTTCTCCAAAAATACAAACAAACTCCTAAAACATTAATTCCATCAATTTTATCGATGGAGAAGGAGAAAAATCGCGATCACAACAATATTATTCCTCGATCACCAGTCAATACTCCGCGTTTACTAAGAAGCAAAAGTGGAATGTCACTCCCAGAAATTCACAAAATCGACTATGTTCCACCAAAACATGTCAATCGATCAAAATCGACCACAAAAATGCGATCTAATAGTAGAGGAGAAGAAAATGTTAGCCCATTGAGGATGATCAAGAACAACAAAAAATTTCAAGAAATTGAAGATCATCATAATCATAGTACTTTTGCTAAATTCTTACAAAAACGCGATAATGGATCAAAATCATCATCAACAACAACAACAGCAACAACAACGTGTGTTAGTACAAATAATAATTCGCGATCTGCATGGGCATTGTCACCGGGACGTCCTTTACCTATAGTCCCTAAGTCACCTAGCTCGAGAAAGTTGAAAATGGACACGTCTAAGGACGTTAGTGATAGTGGTGGTGATCGTGGTGGTGTTACTAGCGTTTTAAAGTATTTTAAACAGAAAAAAATTTCGCCCATACTAGAAGAAGATTTTCATCAGTATCGTCTTATGAATAATAGATTAGTACAATGGAGATTTGTCAATGCTCGTGTTGAGGCTTCTATGGCTGCAATCAAGAGGGTTGCACAGGTAAAAATTTTTATGAATTAATTAATTCTTCCATAGGTAGAGTAATTAATTTTAAGTATGATAATTTATTATTTTAATTTATTGTACTAAAGTTACAAAATTAAATAATAACGAAAAAACAACATATATATATACAATTATACATATATGTTGTATCCATTTTTTATTTTTTTTTAAAAGGCCTAAAATGTTAAATATAGTCCTAGAAAACACAAATAAGTGCCATGTACATTAAATTGCTAGGTAAGTGTAGCCACATTGATCATCAACTCACTTTATATAATATTCACTCGATATCACTTACAAATTAAAACTTGATGTCTTTCACCATACGTGACATATACCATAAACTTACATAAATCCTACTAGTTTAGAAGCTAATTACTTAGATATACTCTAGTTTACAATATTACGTATTTTACCAGATTTTGGTCCCCCAAATACGTCTAGATGCATGTATGTCGAATACATAAGGTCAAAATTAGGTGTAATTTGTCTTGATACATTGTATCCAAGTGAATTCGCATGTATCTGGGATACATAACAAATCCCGCTCGCCTGACTCGTCTCTCTCCCATCTCACTCGCCACTATCCCATGTATCTGGTATCCCAGATATATGCGAATCACACCAGATACATACATATACATGTATCTAGTGTCATTCGTATGTATCTGGTATACATACGAATCTTGCTCGCTTCCCTCCCAGTCTTTCTCACCTCTCTCCCTATTTTCCTATATATGATAGCAATAATATATGTATCTAAGTGTATTTTCTTCAATATATGGTAGAAAACTCTTAATTAGTGGTAAGATATGTAATATTATGAAAGTATAAGTAATGACAGTATATATGATAGTGAAATATATTTAATTATGTAGTTTTTCCTTCTTTATAAGTGCATATTCTCATTTATTTTTTTCTTGGTGATGAGAACAGAAGAAGGTGTTCAATGTATGGTTAAGAATTTCAATTATGAGAAATTTCACAGCTGAGAAGAAAATTGAAGTCCAAAAAATGAAACATGATATAAAAATAAATAAGATTATGAACTCTCAAAATTGCTTACTTAGAGAGTGGCAAAGACTAGAGTTGAAAAATTCTGAAGCTGTTGGAAGGGTAGCAAGAAAATTATCAGCAATTTCTCTTTGTCTTCCACTTGTTGATGGAACTGAGGTATTTAATTTTCTTTTACACGTTTCTTAAATAAATTAATTAGAAAAGTTTTTTCCGACTATTTTATCCTTTTTATTTGAAATAACTATTTTTAGAAATTAAAACAAATAATATTCAATGATTTGGACAGGCAAAAGTTATGTCGATTTACGATGCTATGATCTCAGCAGAGGAAGTTATGGACGGTATACAGGATTTTATTATGAATATGCAATGGCAGGTAATTAAAATAAAATAAAATTATCCATTGCAAAAACATATAAAGTATATATATATATTTACTATAATCTTTTCGCGAGTTTTATAACTAAATAATTATCTATTATTTCATTTACCTACTTAAACAATCATTCCCTGTGTAATTGTATTAAAACATGCTTTGATGCTGCGTTGGCCTATCGTGCATGTATTGTTGATTGAAAACAAATATTTGACAAACATATAAAAAGAAAATAATATATAATTGAGATATGAAACTCGTTAAAAAATGATAATCTAGATTTATTTCGACAATTAGCTCTTAAAAAGATGTTCATAGGAAATTGGCTCATCGTTAAAATATTAACAATAAGCCAATTTCTGTGGGAATTATTTGCTTTTTTAATAGTGATTAGAATAATGAAGAAAATTAATAATATTTTTTTTGTTTTTAAATTGGTTTTCCAGATTGAGCAGTCATGTTATCTGCTCACACAACTTATAGTAATTTTAAAGCAGGAGGAAGAGTTCTTGGAGGAGCTAGAGAGTCATTTAAAAATAGTTGATTCTTTAGAGGTAAGACCTTTTTTTATTTATTATTATTATTATTATTATTATTATTATTATTATTATTATTATTATTATTATTATTATTATTATTATTATTATTATTATTATTATTATTATTATTATTATTATTATTATTATTATTATTATTATTATTATTATTATTATTATTATTATTATTATTATTATTATTATTATTATTATTATTATTATTATTATTATTATTATTATTATTATTATTATTATTATTATTATTATTATTATTATTATTATTATTATTATTATTATTATTATTATTATTATTATTATTATTATTATTATTATTATTATTATTATTATTATTATTATTATTATTATTATTATTATTATTATTATTATTATTATTATTATTATTATTATTATTATTATTATTATTATTATTATTATTATTATTATTATTATTATTATTATTATTATTATTATTATTATTATTATTATTATTATTATTATTATTATTATTATTATTATTACTATTATTATTATTATTATTATTATTTTTACTTTTAACTTCTTTGATGACCATAAATTAAACATGCACACTCTTGTTTGTCATGAAAATTAATTTTCGTCCTACCAAATAAAACTTATAATAAGTATACATTTTTCTTAAGAGGAGCACACAAAGTATCTCAGTTGCGTTCATGCAAAATTCATAGAAAATCACATATCAAATATATATTTTACTAAGAGAAGTCAAGATATTCATGAAGTATAAGATATGAGATCAAGATTTTCATTATAACAATATATGGTCAATGAGCATTATTAACATTATGCCTTGAGATCAAACCTTTGTGCTTTTTAGTACAAGATTTTGAGTCTTATATATTTACAATTTTACCATCAGGACATCTTAAAATTGAATCGTATTCTATAAATATATATGATAGGTATCTAATGTGATATGTATGAATTTATTTTCTGAATTATTTGCACATCCTAGATCTATAATTTGACCCATGCATCTCCTTAAAGGATCGGAGTAGAGTGAAACTAAAGTTTCATGTTTGATTTTGAATTAGAGACTTAATAATCGATATCTACTATATATCCATAGCCTTTCGAGCTAACAACGTGGCTTCTAGATTTTATTTGTGGTGACCTTACTCTATTTGTTGTGGTGGTGGCAAGAGTCGCTAAAATGTAACTTTTTGTGACAACGCAATGTTGTCACTATTAAGTTTCAATGATTAGCTTTTTCTCAACAATTTTTTAATCGCCATGAAAAGTCTCTTTTTTTTAGTAACTAATTTCTAATTATTTTGGTGTAGATTTAGTACATCTATAAAGGGTACATATTTTTCCAAAACCAATAATCTCTTTGTATGTGTAGGTAGAAGAGGAAACCTTGAGAGTACACTGTATCCAATTGGCTAAGGAGAGGACAACAAGATGGGAAGGAGCTTAAACCTAAAGATATTTTGTGTTTTTTTAGCCAAAACACACATTTTTGAGATCTACTTGATATCATTATATTTTTGTTGCATTTTGTAATCCTTAATATCATTATCTGTTAGTTCACGAGTTTATAACAATTACGAGAAATTTTTATAAATAATCACTCAGAAATCATAATACCTAAAATTCCACTAATTAAAGTTTTAAAAGGAAACATTGAGTACTTATCCTATACGATTATACCAATCCCCCACAATTGGAAAAAAAAAAAAGACTAAAGAAAAGAAACCCCAAATCTCCAATTATATTAACACTCCACATTGGCCTTTTGTGCCAAACAAACAAGAGCAATTGAATTGTCACCACCACTTCCGGGCAACTTCCTCTTGGGCTTGGCCTCTTGTAACATGGACACAACATCCCTCATGGAAGGCCGGTCAGCCGGGTTCCGGCTAGTACATAGCAACGCCACCCTAAGCATCAACATCATTTCCTCCCTCACTCGAGGACACGAAGCACCAATATTTTTATCTAAAACATCATTTATACCATTTTTAATCTTCATCTTGGACCTTACCCAATCCACAATGCTATTTCCATCGCCAAATTCCGAATCTACCGATCTTTTTCCGGACAAAATTTCCATTAGCACCACTCCATAGCTATAAATGTCACTCTTTTCGTCCACTTGCAACGTATACGCATATTCTGCATCATAAAAATATATAAATGTACAAAGTTAGATTAGTGATCTGAATCTTATATTATTTACTATTATATATAGTGTAAAAAAGATTAAATCCTAAACATATTTGATAGGATTATATTTGATTCGATTTTATTTTACAAGTAGCACTAGCAAGTAAGATAATTAAGTGAGATCACAACTATCTTGCACACAAGAAATCGAGTTATCATAACATTTTGGCTTTTATAGCCCAAAGTATTTGACTTTTGAATTTATATGTTTAATAAAGAATATAGTACTAGGACTAATAAATTAAAGGGTTTTATAATCATGAAGATTCATATATTATACTTTGGGAAAATCTTTGTGGGCCCAAAGAAATAACATAAAGTGAAAATCAAAAGCCTCAAGAGCCAAGGGAATAATTCACGCGCAATAGTGGACATGGTCCCTAAAAGGTTAAAACAATTATAAGTAGTAAATCACGGAGAAAAAGAGCAAAAATAAAAATGGTAATGGTGGTGCCATCAGAGGCGAATCTAAGATTTGAAGACTTTGGGTGCATCATGGGTTTGTTCTACTGAATGATTCTAAACTTGAATCCCTTATCTAGAAATCACTTATAATAAAAACTATAAAATGTGGTTTTGACTAGGCTCGAACCTAGGTCGCGAGGGCGGATGCATTGGCCTGTTCCAAGTGTCATTCTATACTTTTCATGGGAACACTGTTAATTATATCTAGTTGTTGTCAGTTTCTCAAAATAAATATACATATGTTCATGATTTTTTCCAAAGTTAACTGGTGCACGTGCACCCCACCTATACATGTGAGTTCGCCTCTAGGTGCCATGTCACCCTTATACAAGATCAACGGAAATATTCCCCCCCCCCCCTTGAAAGAGCTCAAATTAGGCCTTTTCTATCATCACTGAACCAACAACACACTTTAAACTGAATTTCTCAATACAAATATATAACCGTACAAAAATTACTGAATTTCTGAAGTCCGTCCAAGGAAGAGGATTCACAAAGAAAGTGGACACATTGAAAAGGACCAAACAAAATGATGAAGTTCACCAAAAATACAATATGACATGATACCACGTTAAGCACGCAAGTCATGACCCTTTTCGTCACCCTACACAACGGACTAAACCGACACGATCGATGACGAAATATTTTTGGATAAACATAACACAACGTAAAAAAAATAAAAAAAGCACAAAACAAACCTTAATTATTTTATTTATTTATTAAAATAATAAGCTTGAATAAATCCGATTTTTTGTTCACACAAGTCTTTTGTGGGGAAATATTTTTATGAAATTGTGTTTTAATATTTGGTTGGTTAATGAAAAATATCTTTCAAAAAGTTATATAATAAAGATTCATATGTCTATCTTTTTAATAAATATCAAGCTTAATATTGATAAATTTATAGAAAACAATTTAACTGGGTATATAATCATTATTGTTACTAATATTGGCAAATCGGAAACATTTTGATGAACTTTTTGAGTGTTAAAGATAATAATAATGTTTAAAGTGTTAGTTGGAAAAACAATATGAAATTAAAATTAAGATAATTTTTTTAAAAAATCGACTATGAAAAATGTGATTTTCGGTGATGTTTTTTTCATGGCCACCTTAAAAGTTGTCACTAAAAGTAATATTTTAGGGGTTCCCACTACCCATCGTAAGTAATAATGTTACGGACAACTAGCTCAATCATCACGATTTATAATAATTCGTGACAGGTTTTATAGAAACGCCACTAATACGGAGTATGGACCCCTATAAAGACTACAAACATACATATAACACAACATGAAACTATTAGATTTCAAATTCGTGCACGTTGTCAGTTAAATTGTAACCTCTTGACAGCTAAATCAACCTTAGAAAATAGTTTAAAAAATTAAGGGAGATTCGAAATTACTTACCGGGTGCAATGTAGCCATAAGATCCAGCAATGACGGACATCGATTCGTCGCATTCAATCAATTTAGCAACCCCAAAATCAGCAACCCTAGCTTCCATTTCACCATCAAGAAGAATGTTGCTAGGTTTTAGGTCACGATGAACAATGACAGGGTCACAATCATGATGAAGATAACAAATCCCTTGTGCAACACCAAGTGCAATTTTGTACCTAGTAAACCAATCACCAACCAAATTTGCATCTTTGTTCTTGTCATGTAACAAGTCATCAAGGCTACCATTAGGCATGTACTCATACAACAACATAGTACATTCATTGTTACTACAACAACCTAGTAGTCTCACAATGTTCCTATGTCTTACATTGCCTAACACATCCACCTCTGCCAACACGCCACGTCGTTTCCTCGTCGTCTCCTTATGTTGCTTCCCCGCCCATAGCTTCTTCACCGCTATGATATCGCCACCTGGCATTTCCGCCTTGTACACTGTACCTATATATAGACACGCACACACAAAGGTGGATTCAGAATATAACCTTAGTATTCAAGCTTTCAAACTATTTTGGAAGTTACTCATGTACTTTTAAGAGATTTTTGCACATGATTTCTCTATGTTCGACTTCACTAACACTATAGATCATCTACTAGTTGCGGACCCCATTTTGAGTTTCACTTGAAATTGTACATTATATCTATAGACAAAGACAAATCTAGAATATAATCTTAGTATTCAAGATTCAAGCTTCTTTTAAAATTACTAATGTCAAAGAGATTTTGCACATTTCTCTATATATGTTCGACTTCACTAACACTATAAATCATCCACTAGTTGCGGACCATATTTTGAGTTTCACCTAGAAATGGTACATTATACCCACAGACAGAGGCGAATCTAGAATATAATCTTAGTATTCAAGATTCCAACTTATTTGAAAACATGATTTTGAAATGTAATATTTATTCTACTATTGCTTAAGAGACTTTGTACATTTCGACTTTGCTGACACTACAGATCATCCACTACGCGCGGACCCCATTCTAAGTTCAAGGTGGAAATTGTACATTATATCTATAGATAGAGGCAGATCTAGAATATAATCTTAATGGCTTTAAGGATCGAAGTTATTTGAAAGTGCACTCAAAACTAAATATTTATGTAACAATTTTAAGGTAAGATCTAGTCTATCTTATACTTTTCCATTTGAGAGTTATATTGATAAAAGTCCACATTGCCAACTTGTCTAGGTGATGTTAGCATTTTAAAAAAAATATATATGTACACCAATTTTGTATGATTTTTCCACCACATATACTTAATGAAAAATTGCGGGTTCAACTGAACTCATTATAACTAACAATATAGATCCGTTAAGTACCTGCAGACCCCATACCGATGATCTTATCTGTGATTGCTATGCTTTCGAGTACATCATCTGCTGTGAAATTCAACCTTTTGAATGCTGTTAACTTCCACGGTCCAATTTCCTTGTCACATGGAAATCTTCGATTGTAATTTGAATGAAAACATCGAATTGCCACAATAAGAATGATAATTACTACTCCAAATGCTGCAGACGCAATCCATACTATCAATGCACCATCTGTTTTCTTTGAATGGTTCGAAAAATCTGTCTTTCCATCTTTGAGTTCATCCGTCCTGCACGGATTATGTATGATAGTACCACAAAGACCTTCGTTTCCTACGAAAGACGAAGGATGGAACGTTGAGAACATAGACCCTGAAGAAGGCAATGGACCAGTGAGCTGATTATACGACACGTTGAAATGTTCCAACGTGCTAGACTTTTCGAAATTGGAAGGGATTGTTCCTGTGAGAAAATTATGTGACAAATCAACGTCTGTTATCGAAGGAATACCAGATATTTCCCAAGGAATGATTCCTGTAAATGAATTTCGTCGAAGATTTAGAGAAATAAGCTTTTCACAATGTTCAATGTCCCATGGAATACTACCATTGAGATTGTTTCCTTCGAGTTCGATTTTATAGAGATTTTGACATCCTTTAAAATCAGGGAGATTTCCAACAAGGCCACTGTTACTTGCTGAGAATATCTGTAAATTCGGGGCGTTCCAGATATTATCAGGCAAGTTACTACCGAAAAAATTCTCAGAAATGTTCAAGTACATCATTTTCGGGGCATTTCCAAAATCTTTTGGAATTTGCCCCGAAAATATGTTCTTGCTGATGTCCATGTAAGTGAAATCAGGCAAAAAACCGAATCCTGATGGAATCGTGCCATTGAGTTTGTTGTCTTGGATTCTCAACCTGGATAAAGCGTTGCAGTTAGTTAAGGATGAAGGAATCTCACCAGTAAACTCGTTCGAAAACAGAATGAGTTTAACTAAGTTGTTGCTG